TGAAAGGACAACGATGCTACATGATATCATGGTTGAAACAAGAATGCATCAAGAGGGGGAGGTTTTAATTTTCAACTCCATAGAAAAATTTTAATTTGCTGCTGGTGACAGAACCAAAAGCTTCATTCATGCTAAGCACATGCTCTACTATTGCGCTACACTCTTAGCCCAGAAGTATTTGTTAATCCAGTAAGACTAATAAATTTGAACCTCATATATAAAAAGATACTTTTAAAAAATAAGATATAATGATTACTATTGCCACTGTTCATCAGAACATTCCTCTACTAAGTGTAGCAGAGGGTAGAATGGTGGGTTAACCAAATAGCTTATAAAAAGCCTCATAGCTAGCAGATCCTTACAAATTGCTTTGGTGAACTGAAGTAGGTATCTCAAAGCATTTTAGAAACAAAGGAATAATGAATAGAATTTAATATATTCAGCAATGCAAAAAGAACTTAATCAAAAACTTACATATAAAAATATCAATGTAGCCGGGGATTTAGCTCAGCGGTTCGGTGGCCTGCCTTGCAAGCGCAAGGACCCAAGTTCAATCCCCAGTACCAAAAAAAAAAAAAAACAAAGGAATAATGAATAGAATTTAATATATTCAGCAATGCAAAAAGAACTTAATCAAAAACTTACATATAAAAATATCAATGTAGCCGGGGATTTAGCTCAGCGGTTCGGTGGCCTGCCTTGCAAGCGCAAGGACCCAAGTTCAATCCCCAGTACAAAAAAAAAAAAAACCAAACAAAAAAACACAATGTAACTATTTTAGGAATCTGACAAATACTATTAACTCCATAAATGGTTAAAAAAGAATAACCCTGGACACATATAATCACAGTTAAAAACCTAGCTCCGATAAAGACAAAATTATTTCTTTGCAGATGATATGATTTTAATGTGTAGAAAACCATAAAGATAGCCAGGTGGGGTGGCGCATGCCTGTAATCCCAGCACTTGGGAGGCTGAGGCAGAAGGATTGCTGTGAGTTCAAGATCAGCCTGGGCTACATAGTGAGCTCCAGGTCAGTCTCAACTACATGAGACTCTGTCTCAAAAAAAATAAAAAAATAAATAAATAAATGTTTTTCTCTCTCTCTCTCTCTCTCTCTCTCTCTCACCCCTCCCCCCCTCTCCCACATACACAATTGGAGCTAACATGTGGCCAGGTGTGTGGCCCATATCTGTAATCCCAGCTGCTTAGGAGACAGAGGCAGAAGATCCAAATTTAAAGTGAGCCTGAACAATTTACCAGGACTTGCCTCAAAAAGGGGTGGGAATGTAATTTAGCAGTTGAGCACCTTTGGCTTCAATTTCCACTACCAAAAAAATAAAAGGTAAAACAAAAAACTAATAAATGAATTAAGCAAAGTTGAAGGATACAAAACTAACATGTAAGTATCAACTATTTCTATTCACTTAAAATAATCTAAGAGTTTTTTTGTTTTTGTTTTTTTAGTACCAGGGATTGAATTTGGGACCTTGCACTTTATTCACTTAAAATAAGCAAGCACTAAACAATTCTACTTACAACTATCAAAGAATAAAATTCTAAAGCCAGGTGTGGGGGTGCATTCCTGTAATCCCAGCATGAGACAGGAGGAAGATTGCTGTGAGTTTGAGACCAGCCTGGGCTACATAGTGAGTTCCAGGTCAGCCTCAACTACGTAGTGAGACCCTGTCTCAAAAAAACCAAAAAAAAAAAAGAATAAAATTCTAGGGCCAGGGATTTAGCTCAGTGGTTCTGCTGCCTGCTTCACAAGCGTAAGGTCCCAAGTTCGATCCCCAATACCAAAAAAATAAAAAATAAGTAAGAGTCTGGTAGATAAGTGTAAGATTTTGATCTTAATCTGTTGCCGGGTGTGGTGGCATATGCCTGCAATCCTAGCATTTGGGAGGCTGAGGCAGGAGGATCGCTGTGAGTTCCAGGCCAGCCTGGGCTACACAGTGAGTGTCAGGGCAGTCTCAACTACATAGTGAGACCCTGTCTCAAGAAAAAAAAAATCTGAACAAAGCATAAAGAGGTGAAAGACTTAAATACTGAAAAAAATACAAACTGTTGAAAGAAATTAAAGACACAGGGCTTATGGGTATTAAGTTAGTTACACACTATGTGCTTAGTATGTATAAGGTGAAAAGAAAGAAGACAGAAAGGGAGAAAGGGAAGGAGGAAGGGGAGAGGAAGGAGTAAAAAGAAGGAAAAATGGAGTGAGGAGGAAGGGGAGGGGAAGAAGACAAAGAAGAGGGGAAAGAGAGACGTGGGGAAGGAGGGAAGGAGGGAGAGGGAGGAGAGTAGGAAGAGTGGGAGGAGAAAGGGAGCGGTATGGAGAGCAGAGAAAGGAAGGGGGAGAAAAGGAAAGAAAGAAGAAATTACAGACACAGTAAGTGGGAGACATCATATAGCTCAGTTGTCCGTACTATGCAAAGTGATCTACAGACTCATTGTGATTCCTATCAAAATCCCAAGGACTTTCTTTTGTGAAAACAAATTCCTCCTAAAATTCATGCAAAATCTCAAAAGCTTTCCGAACAGTCCAAATAATCTTGAAAAACAAGAACACAGTTGGGAGATTCATACTTCCATACTGAAAAGCTACAGTAATCAAAATAGTGTGGTGGTAACATAAAGACAGACATACAGACTCACAGAATCAAGAGCCCAGAAATGAATCCTTACATAGATGGTCAAACGAGTTTGACAGGGAGGCCAAGACCATTCAGTGGAAAAAGGACAATTTTTTCAATAGATGGAGTTGGAATAACTGGATATCCACATGCAAAAAACGTCTGGACCCTTACTTTCTACCACATATAAAAATTAATTCAAAATGGATTAAATGTATAGATGGATAAACTCTTAGGGGAGTTTCTTCAACATGATACCAAAAGTATATGCAATAAAAAAATAAATAAATGCATTTCATGAAACAATTATTTGTGCAAAGAATGCCATCATGTGAATATACTTTAACACTATGAAACTATACACTTGAAATAATTAAATGAGGCTGGAACTGCAGCTGAATGGTACAGCACTTGCTTAGCATGTACAGACCCTGGGTTTAATTCCAAACACTGCAAGAAAAGGAAGGGAAGAAGGGAGGGAGGGAAGGAAGGTGAGAAGAATTTAAAATAATAATTTAAAAATTTGGGGGTGGGGGAGATTACTTGGGATTGAACCCAGGGCCTTCCTTCCATCCTCTCTCTCTCTCTCTCTCTCCCTCTCTCCCTCCCTCCCTCCCTCTCCCTCCTCCACCCCTCCCTCTCTCTCTCTCCTTGGAGACAGGGTCTCACTAAGTCATTAAGTTGCCCAGGCTGGGCTCAAACTTGTGAACCTCCTGCTTTCCAGAGTGCAGGGATTAGACCTGCACTACCACAATCTACTTAAGATGGTAAATTTTAAGTTATGTATTATTTGCCACAAAGGGAGTAGGAAAAAGGAATGGAATTTTGAGATGCTTAAGATGTGCCCTGGCAGGACTTGGTGACTGACTACATGTGAGATGGAAGGCAAAAGAAAATAATAGCATATTAAATTCCTTCTTGGGAGACTGGGACAGTGTTACTGCATTACAAGATAGAAAGATGGAAACGTCAGTTTTGTGGTGCTGAGCATGTATTTGGGAGGGAGAAGGGTTGAAAGAGATTATGGTAGTCACAGCAGCATCATTAGGAACCTGTCAGTGCTTTCTACCTGTTTTTGGGAGCTGGCATCCCTCTGACAGAAATACTGTCACCAAAGACAGTGATCCCTCTTTGCAATCCATCCCTCTTTGCAAATGAAGAAAATGAAATTAGCTCCAAATTACATGGCACATAAGTAGCACAGGAAGGGCCTCAAAAAACTGAGTGACTCAAGTCAAAGTTTGAGATACCAGTGGGACACAAGAGGGATGCGAAAGTCATCAAGAAAGCGAATGTCTTAGGAGACACAGGAACACCCAGGGAGAGAATAGACAGATCAATAAATTATCACTGGCTGATTTTTAGAACAGCATGAAGGAACTTTTCCTTGTAACAGTATAAAGGAACGTTTTCCTCATAAAATGAAGATTATATTTTACTTATAGACACTGCTGCTGTTGAAGGCAAAGATCTCATCATAGTCTTTGTATTCCTAGAGTTTGCAATGTCTGTCACAAATTACCATTCAACAAATTTTTTAAAGATTTAAAAACAAAACAAAATTCAATAACTGGTCACAAAAACACTTGTACATGATAAGAGAGCAACCATTTTGACTAAATTATAGCATAGTTCTACTTCCTTTCTGCATAGCATGCTACAAATGCATTGTTTCTTTCTGCACCACAGTAAGGTCTGTTTTATGAACTGCTCTGCTTAAGTAGTAAGATGGAGTAAACTTAGGGAGACAGATACTCTTATTTGCTGCTGAAGATATATAAGTACTGGGCTGGGGATTTAGCTCAGTGGTTCCAGCACCTGCCTTGCAAGCGTAAGGGCCCCGAGTTTGATCCCAGGTACCAAAAAACAAAAAAAAGATAAGTACTTTCTAGAATGCAATTTAATAAAATATATTGAGAGTTTTAAAGTCTTAACTCAGTAATCTTACCTAGGAACCTATCCAAAGAAAATAGTAAGTGACGGAGCCAAAAATTTAGGTTGGAAGTAATAAAAAATATCCAAAACAGGAAAATAAGTTAATCATATAGTCACAGGGTAGAATATTATATTGTACTTATATTAAGTTCTTAATGAACACTTAAGGGTACTAAAAAATAAAAAGTTGGGTTATAAACTATTCTTAGTATAATACAATTTTGTAATGATCTATATAATGATATATGTCTATATTTATTATCAGCCAGTAAAGATTAGAATATCCTCAAAATACTAGTAAGAGTCTCTGAATGGAAAGATTATAAGATATCTTTTCTTCTTTACTTTTCAGTACTTCTAAATTTCTGCAAAAAGAGTATTTTCATTTTTAAAACCCAAAAATATGATAAATATAAGCAAGACAACACTCACCTTCTTTCTTTTTCTGGATGAATTTCTTGTGGGAGTAGGCTTCTCAAATTCCGCTGACTTTGCCTCTTCTCTCTCCTCTTCCTCATCGGGTATCAGAGAATATTTAGTCCCACCTGGTTGCATGAAACAGTCTTTTGCAAAGTGGCCTGCCAAAGAGAAGCACAGCAAGTAGAAAGGAAGTCGTCTTTTTTTTTTGGTACTGGGGATTGAACTCGGGTCCTTGTGCTTGACAAGGCAGGCAGCGAAACCACTGAGCTAAATCCCCAGCCCTAAAGTACTGTTTTCTCAGCAGGTGGATCTTCCCCCAGAGGCTTCTGAAAGGGGCCCAGTGGTTCAGGAGTATTACTTGGTTCATTCAGAGACTTTCTGTCACCTTAAGATGGCATTGCTGGGACGGGGATTTGGCTCAGTGGTTCTGCCACCTGTCTCGCAAGCACAAGGGCCCGAGGTTAGATCCCCAAACCCCAAAAAAAAGATGGCATTGCTCACTCATCCAAGCCAGGCAAGCAGCTGGTCTCAGAGCTGTGGAAACACTGATGCTGCTCTGAAAATGGCAGAGGATATGAGGATGTAGGCTTGGGCTGCCCTCCATTAGCAATGGGGCTTATTAATTTTTAAAGATCTATTTTGGAACTTATTCTTGATAATGAAAGGCTGCTCAAGAGAACAGGATGCTTAGCAGAGGGAGCTGAGTGGCACGCCAACCCCTAAAGAAAGTTAGCTGGCAGGAAGCGGGCACTCATATTCAAACTAACATGCAGAGAGGCAGTCACCCATGGGCACTGAGTATTCACAGACTGTCAGATCTGGCAAGGCCTTATAGATCATCCAACATCCTGTATTTGCAGAGGATATGAAAGGCTAGAGTTAAGAAGTAGCTCAAAGTCACACACACAGCAGAGAGCTAAATCTTATCTTAGGTCTTATGCCCTTTCGCCCTGTACTGTTTTTGCTATACCAGAGTCAACTACCTTTGTCCTGATTTTTGCTGACTGGGGAAAATCCCACATCCTGGTATTCTACTCTGCTTTACTCAGCACCAGGATACAAGTTGAAGGTAGGAGACTCTAACCTCCCCAAATCTATAGTATTATTAAAGGGTCCCTTAAACAGATGCTATATCCCCAATAGCTAGTTGTGTCTAAGCTTCTGGTTAAGCCTATCTGAGGGGCACAGAGGAACTGCATGAGGTAATTAAAGAACTAGGTATAAACTAGTTTACATATCTGGGTAAAGCTGGATGGTGCCTGGAAATTTGAACACAGCAGAGTTTTCCAAATATTTGAAATACTCCCACAATTCCCCTGAAGAGGTATTCTTTCTTTCAATTTTACTTTTCCTTTTTTCATCTACATCAATAATAGAGACACAAAACCTCACAATTTCAACTAGAGCATAAATCTGCTACCAGCTGCAGAAAAATAAATACAGCAGGATAGTTGAAAGGCTAGGGAAGCTGGGCGTAGTGGCACATGCCTATAATCCCAGCACTTGGGAGGCTGAGGCAGGAGGATCGCTGTGAGTTCGAGACCAGCCTGGACTACATAGTGAGTTCCAGGTCAGTCTCAAGTACATAGTGAGACTCTGTCTCAAAAAACTAAAAAAAAAAAAAAAAAAAAAAAAAGAAAAAAAAGAAAGAAAGAAAGGCTAGAGAGAAGAGGTAACAAATTGAGGTCACTCTGAAAATGAGAAGCTGGCGATCCCTCTCATTATAACCCCAACAAGGGAAGTCAGGCTGAAAGGGTTTTTTAATATTTGAGTAAGACTAGAAGAAACCTGAGGAAACAGAGTGGACGTGACTATCCTACATTCTTTATTACTAAAAGGATATTCAGAACTCTGAAGTTAAAGAGATAAAGGTGAAAAAAGGATTTAACTTGGAACTTTAAGGAATATAGTTCCCAGTCACTTAATATTTGCAGAACAATAATTGTCTCTGAAGATAAAGCTTGGAGTATTAATCACCACCATCTAACACTTTAACCCTCCTGGAATAGTATATGGGGCCCTTAATCAGGCAAGTCACCAGCTACAGTGCAAGAAGTTCAGGGAGGGGAGTGTCCTATGTGATACAGTATTTCACAAAGCCACCATTCAAAAAAGTAACTAGCAAAAGCATCAAGCCATACACTCTGATATAAGTCCAACCAGAACAACAGCATGAGCAGGTGCATCATTAGTTAGCTACAAAGCAGGATGAGCTAAACTAATACTAGGCTATCTCCTCCCCCCAGTAGTGTCCACCCACAAGCAGAGAAATACAGGCATGGCTGGCTTCATCTTACCTTTACAGCCACACTTCTTGCAGGTAGTGTTAAGGACAGCCTCAAGGGTGATCTTCTGCCCAGTGTAATCCTGGAAGGACCGCCTCCTCCTCTCTTCTTGCCTATAATGAAAAAGATACTGACTGCTGGCCCTCTTAAGAGACAGAGATACTACAGAGGCTAACACTTATGGTTTGTTGTGTTTTTGTTTTTTGTTTTTCCTGGTACCAGGGATCGAACTAGGGTCCGTGCACTTGCAAAGCAAGTGCCAGAATCACTGAGCTAAATTCCCGGCTATTGTGTTTTTGTTTTGCTTCTAGTATGAAGAAGGGAGAGAAAAGGAAAAGTGATAAGAACAAGATAGGGGGAAAAAAAAGAACAAGATAAGCAATGAAAGTGATGACAAGAAATAGCTCATGTTTTTTTCATTCAGGACCAGGTTTTAAATTAGCAATTTTGAGCGAGAATAGGCCTCACCTATTAATGTACAGAGGATGAAATATAATTAGTCACCATGCTAAATGCCCTACAAAGCTTACCAGTTCATATATTTAAAAGATCTCCCAAGTCTTTCTAGAAAATCAAGTCTAAATTCTTTATCTCAGCATTCAAGGCCTTTCACAATCTGCCTCTAACCTAATTCTCCAGCCTCATTTTTATTTATACTCAGACTCTTATCTTCTATAGATGTTTCAATGCTTTTGCTCAGGCAGCTCCCACTCTCTGAAATAGTCCCCCCGCCTTTATTCCCATCTTAATCACTTCACTATACCCAAATACTTTAAGGCTCTGATTTTTGTAGTCTTCTTCCCTGAACCCCTCAGCTAGAATTAATTTCTTTGTTCACATTCTCATAGATAGAACTTTAAATTTGTGCCCAAAGTATAATATGCATATAGAAAGGTATTTGTTCTAAGTATACAAAACTAAGTATATACTTGGGTTTCACAATCTGAACATATCCGTATAACTGGTAAGTACTCAGATCAAAAAACAATATAACTGGCACCTCTGAAGCCTGTCTCAGGCTTACCTCTAGTCACCATGCCTCCTCCAAGAGTAACTACTATTCTGATGTCTAACAGCATAGTCTTTTTTTAACCAATTTTTATAAATTATATATAGTACATGCAATCACCAAATGGGTACTTCTGTATCTGGGATTTTTCTTTGTGGGGGGCTGTTTGTGAAATTCACTCACATTGTTATTAGTAGTCATATATCAGTCCTTCTCGTGACTATATATTACTCTACCATTTATTTTGTTCAGGTGAGATCTCTCAATGTTTCCCAGGCTGGTTTTGCACTCATGGGCTCAAGAGATCCTCTTGTCTCTGCATCCCAGGAAGCTGGGATTATGTATGTGCACCACCACACCTGGCTTGCGTATTCTGTTGACGGACATTTGTTCTATTATGAATGGAACTTCTATGAACTTTCTTATACATGTTTTTGGGCAAATACACATGTATTCCCGATGGCAAATGTCTACTTCTACATAGGAGTCAAACTACTGCGTTTTTGTAGACATGACTGGTTTCCCATAGTATGTCTACCAACTTATACTGCAACATAGTATAAATGTTTCAGTTGTCATAGCTTGTATCTTTTACCTTTACCGTAACACAGAACCTGTAGAGTACTCAGAAAGTATTTAACCAAAGAGAATTTCCTTGATCACTCTTTTCAAATTCTATGTTACACACATATCAATCCACATCCTATCACATCCACATTTTACTGTATCATGATGCATTTATGTTTCTTCTATGGACAGATGAGGTCTTATGTTCATTCCCCAGCACCTTAGCCAAAAGATCAACAGATCAACACATTGATACAAAGCATCAATGAAGTTTTTTACTTTTTTGTGTGTGCGCGCGCGTGTGTGTGGGTGGGTGGGGTACTGAACCCAGGAAGTATTGAGCTACATCCCTGGCCCTTTTGTAAAATTTTATTTTATTTTTGGTACCAGGATAAAACTCAGAACCTTGCGCTTGTGAGGCAGATGATCGCAGCACCACTGAGCTAAATCCCCAGCCCTGTAAAATTTTATTTAGAGCCAAAGTCTCACGAAGTTGCCCAAGCTGGTCTCAAACTTGTAATCTTCCAATTTTAGCATCTCATGCCAGCCCAAAAATTGTTTTTTGAAATCTCTTTGCAAAAATATTCTTACTTTACCCAAACCTCAACGTTACTATTTTTGTGGTGCTTGGGATCAAACACAAAGTCTTGTACATGCCAGGCAAGTGCTTTGTCACTGAGCTACACCCTCAGTCCCGAATCTCTTTAACTCTGAACTCAGTCTAGCTTAGCAGTACCAGACCTTTTTGGCACCGGACACCAGTTTTGTGGAAGACAATTTTTCCACAGACTGGATGGGGGTGGCAGATGGTTTTGGGATTAGTCTCATCAGAGTGTGCAAACCCAGATCTATCCTGCATGCACAGTTCACAGCAGGGTTTACACCTCTGTGAGAATCTAACAGCAGCTGCTGATCTGACAAAGAGGTGAAGCCCAGAAGGAATGCCAGTGGTGGGGAGCAGCTGTTAGGTACAGATGACGCTTCCCTCTGGCCATGCTTCACGGCCCAGTTCCTAACAGGCTACAGACTGAAACCAGTCTGTTGGCCTGAGAGTTGGGGAACCTCTGCTGTAATTCTAGCTAAAAATTTAAAATGCTTTACTGTTTCTATAGTTCACTAAGAACAGAAAAATATTCTGCAAAATCAGCTACATTATCCAGTGCAGTGTAGGAGAGCTATATAAAAGCAGAACAAAGCTAACTAAAAAAAAAAAAAAAAAAAAAAAAAAAAAAAAAAAAAAAAAAAAGAACAAAGCTAAAATACACTTCATGTATTTTAGTCATGTTTTATTCATGGATTTTAGTCAAGTTTCATGTGCCATGTCGCCTCATGAGAGGAAACACAGAAGACAAAGACACTCCATGTTCTGTTCATTCACTGAACTCTGAACTTCAAAGTTCAGCTCAAATACTGTCTGTATCTTGTATGAAATCCCCTGCTGCAAGATTTTGTGCTTCCACGGTATTTTACCCTCTAGTCATTTTTTTTGTTTTGTTTTGTTTTTTTTGAGACAAGGTCTCACTATGTAGTGGAGACTGACCTGGGACTCACTATGTAGTCCTGGCTGGTTTCGAACTCCTGGTGATCCTCCTTCCTCAACCTCCCGAGTGCTGGGATTACAGGCATGTGCCACCATGCCCGGCTGATCATTTTATTTTGCTGCATTTATTTATGCCTCACTTTCTACACTGTAAGTAGGACCTGAAGGAACACACTGTCTAGGACACCATTGTCCATCAGAATGGAATGGAAACACTTTGCTTTGTTTTGTTTTTGGTACTGGGGATCGAACTCAGGTCCTTGAGCTTGTAAGGTAGGCGGCAGGACCACTGAGCTAAATCCCCGGCCCTGGAATGGAAACATTTTATAAATCTGTGAATCTACACTGCCCAAATATACTATCATTAAGCATTAAAAAAATGTGGCAAGTGTTATTGAGGAAATGGATACTCAGTTTTATTTAATTTTCATCCATTTACATTTAAATAGACATGCCATTAGTAGTTACCAATATGAACAGTGCCCGCGAGAATATAATAAAGTTCTGAAAGTGTTTGTTCAAATGCCTTTTTCCCTAAAAGACTCTTATTCAAAAGATAGGGAGTCAACTGTCTGGTATAGGTAATGCAAAAGGGTACTTTTGAAAGGTATAATAGCTGGGCATGGTCGCTCATCTGTAGTCCCAGCACTTGGGAGGCTGAGGCAGAAAGACAAAGTTTTAAGAGAGCCTGGGCTACACAGTGAGACCCTGTCTCCAACACAAAACAAAACAAAACAAAAGACCAGGACATGGTCCTTTTCCTCAAAAGCTTATGGTATCACAGCAGAGGAAAACGTGTAAACAGATAATTATCCTATATTGGCTAAATCTAACTTCAAATGCCTCTAGACCCTTTCCATTTGCAGTAACTTATTAGATGACTTTGCTAACATTTTGGGGCCTAAATGTAAGATAGCTAGACAACGTAGAAGGGTTCCCTTTTCTCCTGCAGCCTCACCAGCACTTGTTTGATTTATTGATGATAGCTACTTTTTCTTGAGTGAGTAAAATCTCAGTGTGGTTTTAATTTGCATTTCTCTATTGAACATTTTTTCATTAATTTATTGGCCATTTTTCTTCTGAGAAGTGTTTATTCATTTCAGATGCCCATTTTTTGATTGTGGGTTTTTTTTTTTTTTTTTTTTTTGGTACTGGGGATCAAACTCCTTGTGTTTGCGAGGCAGGCAGCAGAACCACTGAGCTAAATCCCCGGTCTGATTATGTCTTTTATGTGGGGGTCTGATTTTTTGAGTTCTTTATATATTCTAGATATTAGTCCTCTGTCTGAGAAGTAGCTGGCAAACATTTTTTCCAGTTCTGTAGGTTGTCTCTTTACTCTCTTGGTTGTTTCCTTTGCTGTGAAGAAGCTCTTAGGGGCCGGGGATTTAGCTCAGTGGTTCCAGTGCCTGCCTTGCAAGTGCAAGGACCTGAGTTCAATCCCTGGTACAAACAAACAAACAAAAAAGAAGCTCTTAAATTTGTTATGATCCCATTTGTTGATTCTTTTGTTTTTTTGGGGGGAAACCAGGGATCAAACTCAGAACCTTGTGCTTGCAGGCAGGCGCAGTGCCACTGAGCTACCCCGGGGCCCATTTGTTGATTCTTGATATTTCTTCTACAACTAGAGTTCTGTTCACAAAGTCTTTGCCTATGCCTATGTCTTCTAGAATTTTCCTAATTTTTATCTTTCAAAGTAAGCATTTCTGTTTTAACATTTAGATCTCTGATCTATTTTGATTTTAGTTTAGCACATGGAAAGAGGAATGGGTCTAGACTCAATCTTCTGCACGTGGGGCTGGGGATTTAGCTCAGTGGCTCTGCTGTCTGCCTTGCAAGCACAAGGACCTGATTTTGACCCCTGGTACAAAAATTAAAAAAAAAAAAAAAAAAAAAA